TGGTACTTGAGATTGGTATAACTCCTCACTTTGGCTCCTGAGATTTGAAATCGATAAAACTAGTTCTTGAATATGTTCACCATTAATCATTTTGGTTCTTCTGTGAAATTCTTACCCTCAATTTTAATAAACAATGGACAAAATAATTTGAAAAAAAATGAGGGTATTTCTGCCATTTTCTCCTTATTTAATGGAGATTTTTCATAGAATAACCAAATTGATTAATGGTGGACAAACTTAGGGAGAATTAAACTCTAAACTTTCACCTCACCAAAAATAAGGTTATTGAATTATTTTTCGGTAAAATAAATTCCTAAATTCATTAAAATTTGCTAATTCCATCCTTACTATTATACTCAAAGTTATTTTACCCAATTTTTTGTCAACTTAAGTCACTTAACACACTTTAGAACGTAATATCATCTTTTTCTCGCCTATAATGTTAGATCCCACATCGCCCAGGGGAGTAATCCTTATATGTATATTCTCATCCCTACCTAGCACAATGCCTTTTGGGAGCTCACTGGTTTCGGGTTCCGTAGGAACTCCGAAGTTAAGCGAGTTCGCGTGAGAGCAATCTCAGGATGGGTGACCCATCGGAAAGTTCTCGTGTGAGTTCCCAAAAACAAAACCGTGAGGGCGTGGTCAGGGCCCAAGCCAGACAATATCGTGCTACAGTGGAGTCGAGCCTGGGATATGGTAGGGGCCCGAGCCGGGATGTGACAATTTGGTATTAGAGTCTAACCTTGGCCGCGTGCATGTCAACGAGGACGTCGGACCCTTAAGGGGGGTGGATTGTTAGATCCTACATCGCCGCCCAAGAGAGTGATCCTAATATGTATATTCCCATTCATACCTAGCACGAGGCATTTTGGGAGCTCACTGGCTTCGTGTTCCATGGGAACTCCGAAGTTAAGCGAGTAGTGCGCGAGAGCACTCCCATGATGAGTGACCCAATGGGAAGTTCTCGTGTGAGTTCCCAGAAACAAAACCGTGAGGGCGTAGTCGGGGCCCAAAGTGGATAATATCATGCTACGGTGGTGGAGCAGGCCTTGGATGTGGTGGACCCCGGGCTAGGATGTGGCATATAAGCCCTTAACATTTCATATAGATTGCGAATCTAACGTCTAATTTACCCTCCAAAGTTAACTTCATGCACTATTTCTTTACGAAAAATTACCAATCTATCATTCAGTGTATATCACATGTAAGTAACGTGACTTAAATTGACGGAAAATTAAATATAGCAGCTTCAAATCTAATATTAGGAATGTAATTGGCATATTCTTATAATCCAATGACTAATTTTTCTGGAAAAAGTAGTTTAGAAACTTAATTTTCACGCAAGTGATAATTCATGGATTAAATTAACCGTTCACTCAAAAACATATAAATAGTGTAATGGGCAATCACCAACATTATTTTCCACCCACCTAAAACTTTTAAGACCATCCAACTCTTGAGTCAAAACTTAAAATTATTAACTCATAAATAGTTTTTTTGCTTCAATAGTACTAGGTTAAAATTTTAACCTCAAATTATTAAAGAATGAATTTAAATTAACTTTTTTTTCAAAATAAAATATACGCAGATTATCATAATTTATTTTTGTGAACATTTTAACTCGAAAAAAGTTAAAAATTCACTGAACATGTTTTTGTGTGAATTTTAAAATTCACTAAACATGTATTTATAGAGTTTAGTAACAAAACTACCCTTTTATAAAATTACATATAAAGGACCAAAATTAAGAATAAAATTATAAAGGAGAATTATTATTTTCATTCCAAAAAAAATTCAAATGTGCGTTCTATTTAAAATAAAAATACTATTTTTAACAAAAAAAAAAGAAAAGAAAAATACTTTTATAAACAGTGCATTTTAAAATGTTAATAATAGTTTTTTTTTTAAAAGAAAAAAGAAACTAAAATATTGAAGGCATTATTTCTCTTTTACTCTATCATGTTTTATTTGACATATTTTACGATTGAGACCTATTCACAAGACATGCGAGATATATATCTTAAGTCCAAGGATTAATGCTACCATTTTGCAACAATGGAGTTCTCACTAACATGAATATGTGTACAGTAAACACTAGAAAGTTTTGCCCGCGCACTGCTGCAGGATTAGAAATTGTGTGAAAAATTATCTTTGAAGGTATAAACACATCAACTTATATCACATCTAATTGAATTACTGCAACAACATATTGATGCACTTAATATGAAAATCCATAAACTATTCGACAATATGAAATCTAACAATCTCTAAAGATGAGAAATGAATGTAGAAATTCAACAATCACTAAAGACGAGAAATGACCGTAGAAATCCTATCTCATATATATATTAAAACAATTAACAAATTCTCAGTAAATAATCACAGAAGAGGTATAAAAAAAGTAATTCAATTTCTTAATTTAAATCAGTTCTCACCATAACAAAAATAATGATATCATTTTCACATTAACTTGGATTGATTTCGATCACCAGCATTAAGAAAACCAGTGACGTCAACCTATGCAAGCAAATGACCGAATTAGATGCAAGCCAACCAACTTCGAATTTAACCAAATAAAAATAATAATTACAATTAAACTAACCTCTTCTTCCCATATGAAGTAGTTGTTGTTCCCTGTTTTGCCTTTGTGAACAGTACGTTCTTCACTCTCTACACACAAAATGCACTCACAATGCTCAACAATTTTATGAAAACTATACATATACAATATTGTATATGTATTTCGACATACCTAGGTTGCACATTTTTCATATCCAGCAGCTCATATCGGCCACCCCCCACTGGATCCAAGGCTGAGAGAAGCCTTCTGCCGGAGTTGTCATCTCAAGCACCATTCTTATTGTTGCATGCATCCCAAGTTGCTTCAACAGCCTTCGAAGTACATATATCTGAAATGCAGTATTGTCCTACTGTTAGAAACAAAGATAGGAGCCCTAATACCATATTATCAAGAGCTTCATAGAGAGCTCCTTTGTTTCTCTTTGTCAACCACTACTATTAAAATTTAATCAAAATACCTCATTTCGCATTCATAATAAATCCGAAAGTGACTACATAAGATGAAATTAACCCAATTACGTGTGAAAGGAAACCTTTCCAATTAAATGAATGAAATATTTGATGCGGATCGAAACCAAAACCAAAACAAACATCGACAACTGCCATAGTTGGAGTTTGCTCCAAAGGTCCTCCTCCTCCTCCTCCTGCCATCCTTTAATTGAAACCCTAATTTTCCTTACTACCAAATAATGTTATTTTCAATCTATTTCTTTCGGTATGTAGATACTAGTTCTTGATAATTTTCAATCACTTCCACTGTAATTAAAATAAGTACTGAGGTTTAGGTAACAGAAAATACGGTGCAAAGAAACTAAAGTTTGACCTTGATGAAATATTATGCATACAACAGTTTTATAATGTATAAAGGTCAGCATATTGAATTCACATTAACAATCGAATGTGAAATATGGAGAAAGACCGAAACAATATTGGCAGAAAGTGAATTAAAATGGGAATCAATTATGGTTGCTGTAAAAGTTAAGAATTTGTTCAAATTGTAAACAAATAAATGAAAAACAATAATGGTTAGGAAATCATTTTTAAGCAAGTTGAGCAGGAAAGCAAAGAGTACTACCTTCATTGGGTTTCCTAATTGGGAGCTTGTTTTTTCTTCCATAAACATGGTTTTAGAATAATTTGAACCTGCAATGAAAATAGGCACAGAAAATTTTAAGCTGACAATCCAAAAATTTTAAATCACTCACCTTTGGCACAAAAAATCTTGGAAGACGAACGCAAATGTTTCAAAACCCAAGAGCAGAACGTTTTCAAACCCTGTAAAAAACAAAACCACCGCTTAATATCAACTCAAAATTATAATCCAATCTAATAAACAGAGTCCCAAAACTCAGATACCTGAAGACAAATTATAACAATCCTGTGATACACACCAAAAGCAACAATAACCATAAACAAAACATACTTAATCTCCACATAAACATTAATCTCCGATCAGCTGACTCAATCGTTCAATGTTCTTTAAAACAACTATGTGTCAATCCAACACTAATTTTTTTATTTATTTTATCATATTTACAGGAAGGAGCAAACATACACACATAACAGATGGTTAAGTTTTAGCTGATAATGGAGCAATGGTAACAAACACTGCAGCTGTAACTCAAAGGTTAAACTGGTCTTGCAGTGTATGAAAAAATGTTTATTCGAGTGTGAGTTTGTCAATAATTGATAAGTTTGTGCATTGATAGTTTAAGACAAAAGAAGGACTGAAGCCAATTAATATTCAAATGCAATAAATGTTTAGAATTAGTCTCATCAATCTACGGGCTCGTTTAATATTATTATGCTTTGAAAAAAAAATTGTTTCTGCTATGTTGTGAGAATAAACAGCTGTGAAATAAAGCAGCAAATTGTTTGGTAAACTTTTTTGTAAAAGTGCTTTTGGAAAAAAAAAAAAAGTAGTATTATAATGTTTGGTAAACTTTTATGTAAAATAGCTGTGACTACGTAAAATAACCAAAAAGGGTATAATACTATATGTGTCATTAATTTAATTTTCTTAACAAATAAAGGTGAATTACTAAATATACTTTATTTTTAAAAGAAAAATATTTATAAACCTTATCTTAAATATTAATTAGTATGACAAACTACTTCAATTGAAATATTTTAGACCAATCCATGTTTCATGAGGTAATTAACTCTTTATTCTCGTTCTTTTGGTTAGGGTAATTACACACACTGGTATTAAGCCATTTGTTTCTCTTTGTTTTTTGATACGGGGACGTCGGAAAGAGGGATATTCGAATACAGGACCTTGGTGTATGAGTGAACATTCTTAACCACGTACAAACCCTTGCTATAAAGCTATACGTGATATGTATTGGGTTTTCAATATTTTTTTTTGTACAGGGTATGTTGGACTACCAGTTTACTCAACTATAAGAGTTGCAAGATTCAAGCAATCCCAATTTTCTTGCTGAAATAATCAAATTGTTTTGTGACAACACAAAAAAAGGTTATAACAGAGTTGGAGCAATATTTGTAATAACCTAAAAAACTCAAACTCTTGGATGCAAGGGGAGGTTCAAGGTCATGCCTTTTCACTACAGAATATATACCTAAACCCTAAGATAAATCAGAAGCAGAGTTCACACGCTAGGATCACAAATCTCATGACCCTATTCAACCTGCAAGCAGCAATAGAAATGGCAAATGGAGAAGGCAAAGTAGATGGGAGCAGGGCTCCAATCTTTTTTTGGGTTTTGGACTGTTTGTAAATTCTGATCTCTTACAATTCAGGGAGCTCAACTCCTTTTATAGACTTTACACCTTGTGAAAAGGCATGTTTTCAATTCAACTGCAACCACTGCCCTCTGTTCAACATCAAAACCGTTCAATGGTAGTTCCAATGTCGTGCGGTAACTCAAGAGCTCTGCCAAATTTGACTTCTTCATTCACAACATTAGGACTACCACACTTATCCAACACAACATTCCTTTCCCTAGGACCAAAAGTAAGGCCAATAACACCCGCAAGCTTGTCAATTCCACCTTGTAGTGCATGCTGAAAATGCTGAGCAAAAGCAATTTCTTTTGCAGAGGACTTCATAACATAACAAAGCCTTGATTGCCTGTAATTCACCCTACTGTTTTGCTGCTGATTCACCCCTCTTCGCAAACTCTCAAGCACCAATGCTTTACTCGCTATAGCACTAGCAGCAACACCATGCTTCAAGATACACTGTGCATTCGTAACCTGCAAATTCCCTGTTAATCCCACCTTCAACATGTACTCATGAATGCTCCGACCCACAGTCAGCAGACAAGAACCACTCATGACAAGAAGCTCCATAAAATTTGCATTTGCAGGAGGACATGTGGGTTGCACAAGATATACATCACACCTAATTCAGAGCAGTTCACAGAGCAATTGAGATAATGAACAAGATAGAATCCATCAATTTTTCTTACTTCTCGCTCAATTTTTCTTGTTTCCTCCACTAACCCTAATTTGTTCCCCAATTAATTTTTTCCACAAGCCTTCGCTCTTCCCACCCCTCTTTCACTCACTCTCCCATCCCCAAATTAAAAAAAAAAAAAACCAAACAAATAAATAAAGAAATTTTAGACAAGAGAAGCTTACCAGAAGAAGGATGTCGAGCCAGAGAACGCGACCTGGAGAACGAGAGAGATCGTTAGGATGAAGGACGACTTCTTTCAGATATGGTGTAGCAAGCTGAAAGCTCCAATCTTTCCGTCACGTTTTAGGATCTGTATAATAGCAGAAAACAATTAAATGAACAAGGAAAAATGAAAGACTTGCTTAAAATATAAAGCAATTTTTTTTTTTTTTAAAGAGATGGCTTCACACCTGAAGGATTTTTCTGAAACAGAGAAGGGAAGTAGGAGTGAAAGAGAAATCTCAAAAGGAAGTCGAATGTGGGTTCTCGGAAAAATGGGCAAGACAGGGTGAGAAAGGGGAGGGTAGGTTTGGAAAATTGAAAAGTTCATTAACTTGTTACTGTTCACCTGTGTTTTGTTGAAATAAGTTGATTTTTTTAAGCTGCCTTTTTCCAGCTTTAGGCTTTTAGCTTTTTTTCATCAATAAGAAAAAAAAAAAGTTGATTTTAAGTGTTTATTAGACATCTAAAATGTCCCAACATTTTTTCATACCTACTTTTTAAAAAAGTTAAGCTAAGCCAAACTGAGGCTACCTCACAGGTCGCACTCCGATTAAAGCTAATCGAACCGTGCTGGACTACCTTGGCATGTGGTAGTCTGATCCAAAATACTCATATAGCTCCGATCTCACCATAAGGGCTTTCTGATCATTTTAACCGCCCTGAATGCCACGTGTCATAGGCCCAAACAATCATGGTCCATAAATTAACCGAAGTTATATTTAGTAGAAAGTTTATAAATATATTCATTTCACAATACTATCACAACTCAGAAGTTACTTTAGCGGTTGAGTCATTCAAGCTCCCATGGATTGCACATGTTTGACTCTCCCTCGTTGAACTTTTGTCAAATATTTCAAGTGCCTCTTTATATAGGGACTATAGTTGGCACTTCAAAAATATTATTGTGCACTTATTACAAGTAGACCTATAAACGGGTCGGGTTTATTGGGTTTTGGGTCGAATTGAACTCGACCCGTTTATTTAACAGGTCACCTGAACCTACCCCGTGAAGTTAACGGGTCATCCAAACCCAATCTGTTAAGCTAACAGATCACCCGCTTCACCTTTTTCACCCGTTAACTTTTTTTTTTCTTTTTTTCTTTCATTGTTTCTCTTGTCTCTCTCTCCAAATGCTAAATTGATTATCACGGAATATCACAACCACCCAATTTCTTCCACTATTCCATTCCCATCAACCTTTCTTTTATTCCTTCAGTCTCTCAGTTGTTTCAGTGAACTGAAGTCAATCCCTTTCCCCATTCGTCTCTTTCATGGATCTGGGTTACTGATTCCCTACTCAAAAGGGTTTTCTTTCACTCAAGAGGCAGATGCACAGAGACTTACCGAGAAAATGGCAGCATCAGAGGCGACGACGGCAGCTGAGAAATCAAGCTCCAAAGGCCAAGCATGGTGAGTTCAATGGTCAAATTCAATTTAAAAACCTCACCTTTTCGATTTTTCTGTTGGAGACCCATTTGAAAACAATGCACCAATTCGCCAAAACTCGCTTCAAAATCTCGTCTTTGCAGGTTTTGCACCACTGGATTACCAAGTGACATTGTCGTCGAAGTCAACGACATGACCTTCCATCTTCACAAGATCATTTCATCAAACACCTGGATAGCACATTCTACATTTCATCTCCTTCCCCCACCAAAAACTTCTCAGAGACAGAACACAAAAGTCCTCAATAACGGGTGGTTAACGGGTTTCGCGAGTTCGCCCAAAATGACCTGTTATTTAACGGGTGCTTAACGGATTGACCTGTTAACCATCCGACCCATTAAACACTCACCTGAATACTCATTTTAACGGGTCGGGTTAATGGGTTGGGTTTGAAATGCCAGGTCTAATTACAAGTATATTTTTCTTTCTAAATATAGAAAGTTTAGAGTGCACAATGAGAATTTTAGAGTGCCAATAACTGTTCTCTAATTTAATGAATTCAAATATCTAAATTTTACTAGATTATATTCATGCCGAGTCTGTAACTGGTTTGTCATCAACTGACGATCGAGCTTTTTCCCGCTGGGTTTTGCTCGGTTAAGGTCTTTTTAGAGGCCGTAATTATGTTCACATGTGTGTCTATGTTTGTCGTGGATTTTATGAATAAAATTATTGTTTGCCCTAAAAAAAAAAAAATCTCATTGTTAAATACACCGCTGGTTCCATATTCAATCGATTCCCCTGTCGATTCAGTCGATTCCACCCTTTGGTTGTCGTGTGAAGTTGCCTTTTCACATCATATCACTCTTCTCCATCCATCTTCTTAGATCTCTCATGCATCTTCAGTGCTGGTTGTCCAAATCATTATTCTCTGTCCATCTTCTTAGGTCTCATGTACCTTCAGTGTGGTGTCCCAAGGACTGAAGCCAACATGACGACTACCATTTGCTATAGCCCAAGTAGACTCCCTTTTTTATTATTATTTTTTTTTTAACTAAATAAAATACATATATATTCACATAATACTACGGTCTAATGACATTCCTCTTCAATTGTAAGTGGAAGATCTTAAGTTCGATTCTTGCCAAAATCAAATTTGAACAACATTCTTAGGGTTAGCCCATTGTGAGGCTTAGCCCACTCCTCACCCTCTTAGTGTAGATAGTATCGTTTATTCAAAAAACAAAAATACATATATTTTCATATAATTTAAGGTAATTAGTCTAAGTAGCTAGTCCATTGTGAGACTTAACCCACCTCCTCCCCTTTAGCGTAAATAATATTTTTTTTATCTTTTTATTTTTAAACTATATAAAATACATATATATATATATCCACATAATACTATGGTTTAGTGGTATTCCTCTTCAGTTGTAAGTGAGAGGTCTTAAGTTCGATTTTTGCCAAAACCGAATTTGAACAACATTCTTAGGCTAGCCTATTGCGAGGCTTAGCCCACTTCATACCCCCTTAGTGTAGATAATATTGTTTGTTCCAAAAACAAAACACATGTATTTTCATATGGTTTAAGGTAATTAGTCTAAGTAGTTAGCCCATTGTGAGACTTAGCCCACCCCTTCCCCTTTAGCGTAAATAATATTGTTTGTTTAAAAAAAGGAACAAGGATCCTCTCCGGATCCTCTTTGTGGGGATCCGGGGGATCAATTAATCTTGTCCGTTCATCGTATATAGTACGGTTAGTTTTCGTTACGTACTATTTATATTCAATTTAAAATTTAAAATGATTTCTAACTGTTCGATCTACGATGAACAAACAAAATTGATTGATCTCCCGGATCCCCACAAAGAGGATCCGGAGAGGATCCTTGTTCTTAAAAAAGGTAATTCATCTAAGTAAGCCTAATAACCCACCCAAATAAACCTTAATAACTCATTATCAACTCAAGTTTGTATGTTATTTGGACATTTAGAGATACTTGTTTACTCAACTAATGAAAACAATCTCTCAGTAAAGCACTTCTCACGCAAAGTATTAATTTTTACACTTGATTATTTATATTTCTCTTTATTTACTGTTGTCGGTTGATATTCATGTTAGCATTTAATGAGCCACCTTATAAAAATTAATTAGCCAACTTACTTTAAAAATTTTTGGTTCCACCATTGCAATATCAAAATTGAAGAGCTAGTTAGTCTCTTTTATATAAACTAATAATCTTTAGGGTGCAAAATAAAAAATATGACTATGGATAGGTTGAATAAACTGAAAACTGAAGCGTAACTAAAAAATTGAATTGAAGAAAAAACCGAACTGAAATTACAAAACCAAACCTTACCAAAATGGCTTGATTAGATTTCAATTTTCATGATTTAGAAATCAAACCGAACCAAGCCAAAGTTATAAAATACGACATCTTTTTAATCCCCGAATAGCATAGGACACTTGAAATCCTATGTGAATCAGTAGGGACCATTTTGCAAGGCTAAAAACTCTGAAGCGAAAGTCCTTTTTGTCACACCCCATCCCGAAGGAGGGCATGCTGGCCGTCACGTGAGAGTGACGTAACCATTTACACAGTTCGGAAGCTTTAAAAATATACAATTTCTAAGATGAACCACCCGAAGGTGAGTCCTCATTTGGTCCATTCTGTCAGAACACCGTTGAATTTTCCTCGTAGTCACCACACCTTTGCATATACTTGAACCTGGAGGGGCGCAAAACCAAAATTGAGTGGGTCAGTAAAACAAATCTTTTCCAAGTCCAAATACTTCTCAAAACTTTGTAACCCCTCTCCGTAAAACATGTATACTTTCCCAGAAAATAAACATATATACGTACGTATAGATATGTCAATCAAGCTCAAGGGTATGCCAATTATGCTCAAGATATGCCAATCAAAGCCTCATAATGATATGTAAGTGCTCAGGTATAAACCATATCAATAACATGTTACTGGCAGCCGGGAGTCACCTAAAGTGACCTGTACGGCTGAATCTAGAGTTCAAATCTCAATCTCAATAACTAAACAACTGAACCTGCCCACGAGTCGGAACCACCTCATGTGGTCTGTACGACAGGACTGGGTGTTGCGTATAAATATGCTCTAGTGCTACGATCACGTGAAGCTGGGCGAATAATCGCACGTCACCTACGAGTCGGAACCACCTCATGTGGTCTGTACGACAGGCTACGCACCTAGCTTGGATCCAAGCTGAGCATAAGGTGCAGGGGAGGTGAACATCACGTGAAGGCTGGCCCTGCTCAAGGCGAGCACTAACACCGGGGAATCAGGTTATGAGCTCGCTAAGCATCTCCAACTACTGCTGAATGTAAATACGAATAACCTTACCTGGCACTTACCTGTGCATCCACAGCACCCAATACGCATATATATATGTATGCCACTACTAATACATGTGATGATGCATAAACGACAAACATATGGTGCATGGCATGAAACAAATAACCTTTTCTAACCAATTTCTGGAAATATAAACGTATATAGGTATATATGTATTTTCATCGTATTTCGATCGTATTCCAAACATATTTTATACGTATATCAAATGTATTTCATACGTATATCGAATGTATCTTACCTGGGCCTCCTCAGCACCATGCAACAGTATGCATAATTATGGTAATGCACATATTAAAGTATGATGCATGTATAACAGGATATTTAATTCGTATTTCTTTTAAAATACGTTTTCTAGAAAATACGTTAAGCATACGTATATATATATACTGAAAAATGAATGCCCACTCAAAGATTATATCGACGTCTCGTAGGTTCCTGAGCCTCCCCTAGATTGGTTACATTCTTCCTCTGTATAATTTTTCACCTATACAAAAAGTAACCAAATTATCGTTATTTAACGCGCATACGCCAAACATTCGTCCATAACTTTCTCATACGTTACTCAAATTGGGTATATGAATATACCACGGTGATCTACACGACGTCACGAACGCGTGACAATTTTCAGAATTCAATTTGGAGCTCTCACGCGCCCCCACGCGCCCTGTTCACGCGCTGCCCACGCGCGCGTCTTCTTCCTCGCGTCGCCGGACTGGTTTCGCCGGCGGTGGGTTTTTGCCGGAATTTCTGGGTAAATTTCAAAGTGTCATAACTTCTTCGTTTCTTAACCATTTTCGACGTATAATATATCAAATTGAAGGTATTGACGAGACGAACACATCCATACCTGTCTCGACCCCTAACTCGCCGTGGATTCGCCGGAAAAAGCCTCGAAAGCTCCGGCCAAACTTTGAGCTTGTCGTTCTCCGTGTTCTTACGTCCAAAAACTTCCAACGAACTACTCCAAGCCTCCTTAGGACCTCAAGAAGCTTCCTATAAGCTTGAAAAGTCCTAAAAATCAACCAATAAAAAGTTGATGAATAGTACCTAAATCGGACCACCTCGAATCGACATGAAAACGAAGGATTTCTCACCTGAAAATGGTATGGTTGCACTCGTACGAGCTTCACGAGTTCAAAAATGCCCTTGGTTCCTTCGATCCATCAAGGTTTGGGTGATGTGTGTGTTGTCCGTACGTTTTCAGAAGGAAGAAGAAAGAAGAAGAAGGGAGCTCGGGGAGAGAGAGAGGAAAGAGACAGAGAAGAGACAGAGAGTGAGGGAATCCCGGGAGAGAAAGAGAGTGTATGAGTGTGTGTGTGGTCCTACAACACCACACAACACAAAACTACACATAAAGTAACGAACTAGGGGTAAAATCGTAAATTCATACGTACGTTTTTATAATCTCGGGACGGGATGTCACAACCTACCCACCTTAATAGAATTTCGTCCCGAAATTCAAAACAACCAAATATACCCCTAGTGATCGAAGAACAATCTAGGATACAAATCCTTCATCCGATCTTTTGTCTCCCATGTAGTTCCCTCGACTGAAAGATTCCTCCACAAAACTTTCACTAAGTTCACCGTCTTGTTCCTCAGAACCTTTTCTTTTCAATCGATGATCGTTAACGGTTCCTCGTCATAGGTCAAATCTAGATTAATCTCCAACGGTTGAGGAGGTATCACATGCGACGGATCAGCAACATAATGTCGGAGCATAGACACGTGAAAAACGTTATACACTCTAGTCAACTTTGGAGGCAACTCCAACCTGTAAGCTACCTCACCAACTCGTTCTGTGACCATGTATGGTCCAATGTACCTGGACTCAACTTCCCCTTCTTTCCAAACCGTACAACACCTCTCCACGGTGAAAGCTTCAAAAATACCTAATCTCCGACCTCATACATTCTGTCCGTAGCATGTCGATCTGCTAAACTTTTCTGCCTGTCCTAAGCTACTTTCAGGTTATACCTAATTACCTGAATACTTTGAGAAGACTCATCCATAGTTTCAGGGCCTACCAAAACTCTTTCGTGATCGAATCTTTTATATCCAGAAGCATTTCTTCCACAAATCAGCCAAAAATCGACATATTTCATAGTCCTTATGGCGTTACATCGGAAACTGCGCAATCAACATACTTAAGAAACTTAGCAGTTCCGTAACCCAAATCTCTTCTCCATAAAACATATAAGTATTGTTACACTGTGGTTATTACTCAACACTGGAGTAAATGTATTAACTTGGTACATTGATCAATTATCACTTCAAGTTCAATCATAACCATCCTATTCTCGAACTCAGCAATCTTTCTTTTTCCCTTCTTTCTTTGTCTTGGTTAATTCTTAATTTTCTTCGTTAACCATTTGAGTCTTGAGTATGACCTTACCAAAAAGACTTAACTTGAAAATTAGCAATTACAACTTCTTCTCAATCTTCCATTCTTAACTTTACTTCAGTTGATTTCCAATCCACAAGAAGACAATCTTGGCAAGCGTGCCAGACATTAACTCTTACCACAGTCTTTTCACCAAGTGCATCAGCTAGAACAATTTTACGATTTCCTTGATCATACAATCATGTTCATTAAACAATTCAATCCACCTTCGCTACCTCATATCAAAATCTTTCCAAGTAATGGATATTAGAGACTTTTTGGATTCGTAAAAATCTTGCATTCTTACCAAATATAATGTCCTCATGACTTCACAGCAAGAATGGTAATCATGACTTCCAAATCATCAGTAGGGTAATTCATTTCATGAGATTCCTTTCGTCGTGAAATGTATGTAATCACCCTAACATTTGCATCAACATGCATCCAATACCATTCAAGAAACATCACTAAAAATTTATGATTACCACCATTCTCTGGGAATACTAAAATACGTGCATGAGTGAGGAAATACTTCAGCTGTTGAAACCTTTACTCATAATTATCATCCCACTCAAACTTAACCTCTTTTCTTGTCAATGGCAAGGCAATGACTGAAAAATCTTTCACGAACCGTCCATGATAGCTTGTTAAGCTAGGATAACTCCGAATCCCAATCATGATTCGTGGTTGTTCTAAATTCTCAATTTCTGCTACCTTTTAAGAATTCACTTGAATACCTGAAGCAGATATAACATATCTCAAAAATGCTACTTGATTCATCCAACATTGGCATTGGCTAAATTTAGCATACAATCGACATTCCCTCGATCTTTGCAATACCAATTTAAGATGTTTAGCATACTTTGCTTTAGTCTTATCAATCTTTTCAATAGCAACAACAACAAATCGGTCTAGATATCATTGGAATGCTTCATTGATCAAATTCATAAAATAGTAGATGCATTCGTCACTCCGAATGGCATCACCAAACTTGAAATGACCTTAACGAGTCCTGAAAGTTATCATAAGGGCATCCTCACCGATAATCTTCAATTAATAATATCCAGACCTCAAGTCAATCTTAGAAAATATACAAATACCTCTGAGCTGATTCATTAAACATCAGTACACCATCATGGATAACGGTTCTTAATCGTTACCTGATTCCATGGTCTATAATCAATGGATAGTCTTTAAGGTCCATTTTCTTTTTCACCAACGAAATGGGCTCCTCAAAAGTGTTGTATTAGGTTGAATGAAACTTTTATCAACCAATTCCTTCAACTAAATTTCCAATTCTCTTAACTCATCATGAACTAATCTCTAACATAAAATTTTTATACTGGAAACAAATCGATATTGATCTTCACATTTCTGCCTAAAGGCAATCCAGGTAAATTCTCAGGGAAAACGTCAGGTAAATGTTTGACTCTTCCCACTTCTTCCACAATACCAGAAGTGATATTATTTAGTACCACATGAGATAAGTATACTTGGCAGCCTTTTGATAACAATCTCTTTGCTCTCACAGCATAAATAACGGCCTGCCTTACTCCACTTTACATACTTACAAAAGTAATCTCTAGTCATCCAGACCGATGGAAAATAACTGGTTTCCCGGAACTAAAGTATATACTCATATACGTAATATATCTCAAATTATACTAGGCAATATGAATGTATGTCATGCCAAGTATCATAACAGAATGCTCATCATCTCTATGTGACTATGATGGAATAACATATAATCAATTCAACATTCGGCTATAAACATAGCTCATACTCTTTCATTCTAATCAACTCAGCCATCGGCTGCATATATAACTCATAATTAACTCATCATATCAGTATATCTTGCACACATTCAGTACCACCTCGTGTGGTCTGCAACTCATCACTGTATATAACATAAAATTTCTACATTAATAACAAATAGACTCTAGCTAAGTCATTAAGAATAATTATCGTACTCCTAATCAAATCCGAATAATTCTGAGTATCTTGCAGTGATGTGTGGTTAACACATCCCTGGGCTGGTTGTCGTCTCCCACAACCTCTATTAGTGTAAATACTTCGTTCATGTACACCACGGCCTAACCGACCATAATTAATAGATCCAGAAACTTGCTGGATCGGCGCCAGTTGTGGCAAAGAAGACTACTAGGACTTCTATTGGCTTTGGACATAATTTGCAGTTCTATGTCCCATCTATCCACTTGTAAAGCGTCCACTGCTTTCTCGCCTATATTCTCAAAGGTGTCCATTATTGCACCTACAGCACAAAGGTACATTTCCTTTACCAAAATCACCTTGTCTCTGAGATCTGGGATTACCAATACATCTATCACTTCGCCTTTGGTCAATGGCATTAAAACCTTTGCCAAAAGAACTAGAATTAGCTTCACTTCTTTTGAAGTTCCGAATCTTTCAAGATTTTCGAGATGACTGGCCTTTATCCTTGTCATCATTCCTCTGATTCCCATTCCTTTATTCTTCTTCATCATTATCACTGGACATAATCTCAGAGTCCTTAAGGCTCAACAACATCTTGTATACTCCTGGTAAGAATTATAATGGATAGTGGTCACCCAAAGAACGCCACTTCTTCTTATTACCCAGCCTAAAACGACGAGACATCTTTGCCGGATTATCAACAACATCCGGATGGTAATAAGGCAAGTCTGTAAACTTTCTATAATACTTATTTGCCGTCATCTTTCCTTGTCTCAAATCACAACTCTTGCTTATTATCATCCATATATGCCGGAGGAATAATTCTTTTATTTAAACAAGTCCTTAAACAATTCTCAATCGGTTGTTTCCTCCGGTGACAACGAATTATACTCCTGTTTCCACCAGGATACAAGTTCATAACTCCAACCAGTTAGTCGTCTCAACCCTTCTGTCAAAAGGAAAATTCCCTTGACTTGCATAATCTAAAACATCTTTTCCAATTGGTTAATTCATCACTTTGCTCCCTCGGTCCATCATTTCATAAGGTGATTCAAATTCAACTCATAACCCATCTTAAAATGTCCCTTTCGATAATATAGTGAATCACCCAACATAATAGTTTCCCCTAACAGCTAAATCAGGGAGACTAAGTTCCTCTAACTACGTGGTTTGCTACGAGGCGGTGTAGTTCTGACAGAATTCACTAGAACTTCTCAAGATGTCCAAGATTGAAACTAGGCTCTGATACCAACTGTCACACCCCATCCCGAAGGAGGGCATGCTGGCCGTCACGTGAGAGTGACGTAACCATTTACACAGTTCGGAAGCTTTAAAAATATACAATTTCTAAGATGAACCACCCGAAGGTGAGTCCTCATTTGGTCCATTCTGTCAGAACACCGTTGAATTTTCCTCGTAGTCACCACACCTTTGCATATACTTGAACCTGGAGGGGCGCAAAACCAAAATTGAGTGGGTCAGTAAAACAAATCTTTTCCAAGTCCAAATACTTCTCAAAACTTTGTAACCCCTCTCCGTAAAACATGTATACTTTCCCAGAAAATAAACATATATACGTACGTATAGATATGTCAATCAAGCTCAAGGGTATGCCAATTATGCTCAAGATATGCCAATCAAAGCCTCATAATGATATGTAAGTGCTCAGGTATAAACCATATCAATAACATGTTACTGGCAGCCGGGAGTCACCTAAAGTGACCTGTACGGCTGAATCTAGAGTTCAAATCTCAATCTCAATAACTAAACAACTGAACCTGCCCACGAGTCGGAACCACCTCATGTGGTCTGTACGACAGGACTGGGTGTTGCGTATAAATATGCTCTAGTGCTACGATCACGTGAAGCTGGGCGAATAATCGCACGTCACCTACGAGTCGGAACCACCTCATGTGGTCTGTACGACAGGCTACGCACCTAGCTTGGATCCAAGCTGAGCATAAGGTGCAGGGGAGGTGAACATCACGTGAAGGCTGGCCCTGCTCAAGGCGAGCACTAACACCGGGGAATCAGGTTATGAGCTCGCTAAGCATCTCCAACTACTGCTGAATGTAAATACGAATAACCTTACCTGGCACTTACCTGTGCATCCACAGCACCCAATACGCATATATATATGTATGCCACTACTAATACATGTGATGATGCATAAACGACAAACATATGGTGCATGGCATGAAACAAATAACCTTTTCTAACCAATTTCTGGAAATATAAACGTATATAGGTATATATGTATTTTCATCGTATTTCGATCGTATTCCAAACATATTTTATACGTATATCAAATGTATTTCATACGTATATCGAATGTATCTTACCTGGGCCTCCTCAGCACCATGCAACAGTATGCATAATTATGGTAATGCACATATTAAAGTATGATGCATGTATAACAGGATATTTAATTCGTATTTCTTTTAAAATACGTTTTCTGGAAAATACGTCAAGCATACGTATATATATATATACTGAAAAACAACTGCCCACTCACAGATTATATCGACGTCTCGTAGGTTCCTGAGCCTCCCCTAGATTGGTTACATTCTTCCTCTGTATAATTTTTCACCTATACAAAAAGTAACCAAATTATCGTTATTTAACGCGCATACGCCAAACATTCGTCCATAACTTTCTCATACGTTACTCAAATTGGGTATATGAATATACCACGGTGATCTACACGACGTCACGAACGCGTGACAATTTTCAGAATTCAATTTGGAGCTCTCACGCGCCCCCACGCGCCCTGTTCACGCGCTGCCCACGCGCGCGTCTTCTTCCTCGCGTCGCCGGACTGGTTTCGCCGGCGGTGGGTTTTTGCCGGAATTTCTGGGTAAATTTCAAAGTGTCATAACTTCTTCGTTTCTTAACCATTTTCGACGTATAATATATCAAATTGAAGGTATTGACGAGACGAACACATCCATACCTGTCTCGACCCCTAACTCGCCGTGGATTCGCCGGAAAAAGCCTCGAAAGCTCCGGCCAAACTTTGAGCTTGTCGTTCTCCGTGTTCTTACGTCCAAAAACTTCCAACGAACTACTCCAAGCCTCCTTAGGACCTCAAGAAGCTTCCTATAAGCTTGAAAAGTCCTAAAAATCAACCAATAAAAAGTTGATGAATAGTACCTAAATCGGACCACCTCGAATCGACATGAAAACGAAGGATTTCTCACCTGAAAATGGTATGGTTGCACTCGTACGAGCTTCACGAGTTCAAAAATGCCCTTGGTTCCTTCGATCCATCAAGGTTTGGGTGATGTGTGTGTTGTCCGTACGTTTTCAGAAGGAAGAAGAAAGAAGAAGAAGGGAGCTCGGGGAGAGAGAGAGGAAAGAGACAGAGAAGAGACAGAGAGTGAGGGAATCCCGGGAGAGAAAGAGAGTGTATGAGTGTGTGTGTGGTCCTACAACACCACACAACACAAAACTACACATAAAGTAACGAACTAGGGGGTAAAATCGTAAATTCATACGTACGTTTTTATAATCTCGGGACGGGATGTCACACTTTTAAAAAGAAGCTATTCAGAAACAAATGAGACATTGTCTACTTTAGCAAGAAATATAAACAAAGTAATTACTTTGAATCTTCTATTACACTAAGCAATTTAATTGGTTAACTCGAAGAAAGAAGTCAACCAAACATTAAAACATGGTTCAACAAAAAAATAATAGGGGTTTTAACAAAAAACCTACGGTACCGTTTATTTTAACGAAAAATCATATTTTTACACTAAAAAGTCGATTATGATATTATTCATTTTATCATTTATTTGGTCATTTCAAACTATTTTCATTAGTTTTTCTAAAAATAAAACATTAAAACATAATTAATTTACTAGTCTGACTCTAAAGTTTTAAACCCTAAACCCTAAACCCTAAAACCCTAAACCTAGCGAAAACGATCATTTGTTTTGTACAACCGTAGTAGCAGATTTTCAAGTTTCAACTTACTTCGTTCCGTCTGATAACTTTCTTCTGTCTCCCCGCGCCGCGCCTTCCTCAGTCAGTCACCACTCTGATAATTTTCTTCGTTCGAACTTCAGAGACTTGCAGGCAGGTCGCAGGCTCGCAGGCTTGTAGCAGGCTGCAGCACGCCTCAACCCTTTCACCATCTTGAATCCGGACAACCCATTTTGACGTCGACCACTCGCCTTCCTCGCCGTCAACCCTAAAGCTGTCTCGGTCGACAGCTGTCAAAGCTACCTTGATTCGCGGAGGTAAGTTATCTGCGGCCATGAGCAGCCCCTTTTCCACTGCAGGATACATATTGTCTTCAATTCAATTGTTTGCTGATAATTGGGCGAGAAGGACCCAATTGTTCTAGTTGAAGTGGTTAATTGGTTGAATAATGGTTAATTGCTGATGATAGATCTTAGCAATTAGCAAATTAGAAATAGTTAATTGTTTGAATAATCAGGCAATATAATAGAAAATTAGCAGAGAGGGACCCTATTGTTCTATTTGAATTTCGATCAGTTTGCATTTTTTATTGTTATGATATTGTAAGAATCAATACAAAAGAAGAAGATTATTGATCATCTTCTCTCAAATGAATATTAACCATTTTTCTTTCGAGGAGAGGTCCAACATAAAACCATAATTCTGCAGTTATTATTTCTGCTTTCTACACATGGTTGAAAGTTGGGATTAACTGTTCGTCTTCAACTGGTGAATTTAAGTATGTTGGCATCCACTCGTTTTTGCTCAATCCCCTGCTATGCTAATACATAAAAATGATAGTGAAAACTCAATACGGTTGATCTTTTGAACCCGCTTCAAGTCAGGATGACCAATCAACCGTTCTTGGGGGGAAACGGTCTCTTTTGTTTATATTTATTTCCGCTTAACTCTCTAACTCTTATACATAGAAAATGTCTGTGGTAAATCATTAGGCTCGCAGATCTGTTCTTCTGTACAATAAATCGCCATCTCGTAGCACCACCACGACACCGATTCTTGTCATTTTTCGGAGCCCTCCATGCTTGATTATGATGCATGAGTGGAAAGATCTTTATAGGAGTCCCTGCTCTGTCCAACCAAAGAGTTAGCATCTAAAACACATATATATTGAGTGGGTGGGGGGGGGGGGTGGGACAGCGAGTTTTTTCAGAAAACACTTGCTGGCCCCCTTCCGAATCCCGTGAGTAACTAAGCATAGAGGCTTGGTGTACATAGCAAGAACCCACTCAAAGTGACAAGATCTTGTATGACTGAGTTTGGCAAGGACCCTATAAGAGAAGAAAGGAACTATGCAATTGAATCGGGGGTAGGTGACAACTGACAAGGTTGTGTTACCATGGCTTGTATGAGATATTTTTCTTTGACCCGTCATTGCAGACAGCCTAAATGTGTTCTGTGAACAGTGACTTCAGTTTGGTTTTCGGTTTCGATAAAAAAACCGAATCGAATGGAACTGACCACCCTATGACTGTCAATGTTCTTGATAAATGGGTATTTAACTTGATGTATGTTCGTCAAAGTGACTTTTAGCTTCTTTTTATTCCTTTTACTTTTCTCTCTCTTTTTTACAAAATTAATGGTATTACTTCTGAACCTGATAATTATAGTAAAGTTGGTATTTACATTGTTTGGTAAAGTTGATTTTGTATATTCTTATTGAAGAAGGTTGCGAAAAAATGGGCAAGAGGGGAAAGAGTCTGAAGAAAGGTGATGGAAACCCAATTCAGAGTAAGAGAAAGCTTCGGGATGAATACAGTCCCATTCAAGATGACGACATGGACGACGAAATTGATGCCTGTATGTTACTTTAACTAAAATCATTTTTTATTGTTTTGTTAATTGAGTTGATGTTTGCTTTTTTAATACCTCGTTGAAATTGTTTTTATAAATTAATTTTGGATATTTAACATTTGTTACGATCACTATCGCAAGAGAATGAAATTTGGACTGGGAAAGTAACTGGTTTAATAGGCGTTTAATCTTCTTTTTGCTTTCATTTTATTGTATTTGGAAATCGATGGTTGTGCATAGTTCATGTTTGGACAAGAAACTGATGGGTTATACTGAATCCTTTGGTTGCAGTTCACAAACAAAGAGATATAATTCCTCTTGATGTTAATGAAGAGGATGGAGATTCCGATGAAGACAACGAGCAACCCGTCTTTGGTTTGGAGGTTTTCTATTCATTATATTCCCTTTCATTAAGTTCTAAAATTGCTATGGACCTTTTACAACTATTTAGTAGTTTAATTTCTTTAGTTGGAGTGATGCAGAATCAGTTTTTATGTGCTGCAATGTGCTTTTCATTTGTTTTTTTATTGATGAAATTCTTAGGTCTGTGTCATTCGCAATTATGGGTTCATTTTTACTTCTTGGTAACTGAAATAACTCTCTGATGGTTTCTATAAAGAGTTTCAGTTTTCCATGAATTTTATGAAAAAAATTTGTATATGAACTTCTGAACTTCATTTTATTCCCATCTTTAAAAGTGATAATTGATATATTTATCTTCAGATTCTAATCTTGTATTGGTAATACTCTTAACAGAATATTCTTGATGACGACGACGACGACGTTGATGATGATCGGGATACTGGCTTTTCTGCAAAAAGTAAGAAGATGTTTTAAGATTTTTTGGTTTTCAGATTACAAAAACTTTCCTATTATGCTTGATTTCATAGTTCTCAGTTTAAATCTTTGGAAAATTGAGTATTGTCAAGAATAAATGTTTAATGAAGTATATGTGAATAGGTCTGCATTAGATGAAGAAAGTAATCATCTTTTGAAATTTTATGAACTTTGCTATGCCACGTATTGACAGGGTGTATAATGAAATATACATGATATGTATAGGTCACTTTGTATTCATTGTATGAATGGTTCTATCCTCATCAGGTGAACAAACCACTTTGTTTCAAACTCCAGTATTCTATCTTGAAACTTTTTGTTCCTTTTGGTTTGAAAAATCATTATATTTATGTAATTACTCATGAAAAGTATCGTTCTTAACATTCTCGTGGCTATTACAAGTTTCTAGTTTTAGGACCACATCCTATTTGAAGTTACATAATTGCTCATAGTTATGTATGATTACAGTTGTTAGGCAGCAGAAGTTCTTAAGGGAGAAGTTTGGTGCTGAGGATGATTTGCATGATGATGAAGAAAACGAGGAAGAAGAAAAGCCTGTATGGGGTGGAAAGAGGCAAAACTATTATGGTGTTGATAATGGCGATTTTGAGGTGAGGGCATGTACATTAAGTGCTATAATATATATATATATATTATAGCACTTAATGTGACAATTTTTCTGTTAAGCTTTTTCTTCCCCCTTTCAAATTCAATCACAATGTGAGTCACAGGAGTCCTGTGTACACATTAATATTCTTTTGTGTTGATTTTTTAAATTAGTTATTCTGTTATTGATGTAGCAAAAATCAAGTGACGATGAATCTGCTGAAGAGGAAGAAGCAGAAGTGGTGAGGCTGCAGAAAGAAAGGGCAAAATTTTCAACGCTGGATGACTATGGGCTTGACAATATTTGCGAAAATGAGAATAATAAGGAATTAACTTTTGAGGTGAGGTTTGAAGACCGGGGTTTCTTTTGAATCTTTTCTTTGGATTGGGAGAAATGGATGAAATTAATAAGTTAAATATAGTCTGTACCAAACTTCAAAAGAGGGATTATGATGTAATATTCTTTCAAATGCCCATCAATTTTCTTTATTTATACAGGAAGTTTCAATGAAGGGAAACAGTACAAAAAGGTTTCCAGTGGAAATTGATGTTGCAGATAGCACGTGTACAGCTTATGAGGAGGTGAAGAAAGATTTGAGTGCCTTGTCAAAGGAGGAGCAAATGGATGTTTTATACAAGTAAGGTTTTTCACTTATATATTTATTTTAAAAAAATATTAAAGTATAAGTAATTTTTTTTTTCATCTCTATATTTTCTTTTTAAATTAAAGATTTGAGTGCTGTGCAGTTTTATATTTTATATGTGCTATGCAGTTTTTTTCCATTTTAAATTATTTCTATGGAGTGACTAGGCATTAAAGAATCAGGATTCTTTTCTTCTTTTTCTCTTTTTAGCACTTGGAACCTGAGGGTCTAGGAACCATAATATTTTTTAAATGTAGTTTTAACTACGTGTACCTACTATAGGTGATGTTCACTTTAGTATTTTCAAATGGACTGGTTTGGGGTGTTGTACCAAGTAATTGTGCAGCGTTTTGTTTGATTTAACACTTATTATTTTTTTTTTCCAGTTGGTTTGTGAGAAGTTTAAATTTTCTGTATAATGCGGTATTCTGCTTCTTTATAAATGCTTTTAAGCATTTATTTTACTTATCCTGTGCCTTGATTCAAAATTGAACATCTTTGTTTTGTATTTATTTTAGTTTTTCTTTGCCTCTTCTGTTGTACCCTGCTTAGTTAATGCTTGTTCCGTCCAGTTCTGCACCAGAATTAGTTGGGTTGTTGTCAGAGCTGAATGATGCACATGAAGAGCTTGAAAGAAAAGTTAATCCACTTCTGGGCAAGGTATTGATCTTTTTGTTTTGTTTTTTTTTTCAAAATCTACCTATATACCGTCAAATTTGTAGTGTTATCCCATTTTTCTTTTGAATGCACTCTTAAGTATCACTGCAAAACACTTTTCTTGGAGTCTTGGTATGGAGGTTTCTTTTTATTACAAAAAATGGAGGGTTTATTAGGAAGAGTAAAGAGGCATTTTTTTCAGGATAATGTTATGTCTTGTTTGTCATGATGTTGAAGCTAAAGCCTTTATAGTGTCATTCTTATGGATTTACCCCAGCCTGATGTTTCCTTTGTTTCTTTTTTCTTTTTGTTTTCTGGAGAGGGTCTCCTTTCTGCTTTTTTTTTGTTTCCTTGACAAGGTCTCCTTTTTTTCTCTTAGGCTTTGCAATGTCAATACTTTTCCCTGTTCTATATTTGTTGGTTTTATTCTTGCATTCATGGGTTTCACTGCTTATAGTTATAATAAAATAAATCGTGCCTGGAGATGGGATGTTCATGTCTGCATCGGGAATCTGTTTTATATTTTTCGTAAATCATTTTTAGCATTACTCCTTGATTCTGTCTCACAGATTTCTTTTTGGCCCCAAAATGATGTGACTGTTCTAAAAGATGTGATGGTAGCGTAAATATATATTTCCTGCAACTTCAAAAATAATTTCTAACCTACACCAAGATGAAACTTAAAGTGGCAATTTTGGAACAACAATTTGATTGTCCAAGTTGTACCCTTTTCAAAGCATACGCTGATTTTAAGACACAGGACTTATGTTTATCTGTCTTCAGCATGAATGCCTGTAGATGTAGTGGTATGATGATCAGTCCCTTTGAGGAGTTAATATGTTGGGATAAATTCATAATCATCCATGTATTTGGTTCCTTCTAGCTGTAAATATGCTCTTATGATTTTAAACTTCAATATCTGTATATCAAATACTGGGTCAAGTTTGTTTAGGTTTCTTCTTATTGTCTAATTTTGTTTGATTTTTCCCCCTGGTTACATGCAAATGTTTTTGATACATTTGCGCGGTTGTGTTAAGTTTTATTGAAATTTGTGTTTTCTGAAGGTTAAAAAAGGGGAGGTCATGTTGGAAGGAGGGATGCGCTATTTAGAGGTTAAGCAGCTTCTTCTGCTTTCCTATTGCCAAGCAATAACATTCTACCTTCTTCTCAAGTCTGAAGGACAACCAGTTCGTGACCATCCAGTACTTGCTCGCCTCATAGAGATCAAGATTTTGTTGGATAAGGTGGTCTTTTTTCCTTTAACTCACTCGCAAGAGCATCTTGAACTTGCCTGCCTTACACAGATCTATAAGTTGGTTATGGTCTCCATAAAGATTTTAATTTGAAAAAGTAAATAATATTCACATATGTGCGTACAAATTGCATGTACATTTGATGCAGTGCTTTTGCTCCCATCTCTCAAGTTATATTTTATGTACATGTTTTCTTTTGAAAAGATGGAATATGTGTGACCATTGAATAATGAGAATATGTCCCTTCTCTATAGTAAGCAACTCTCCTTTTGATACTTAGCATAAATTTAGTTGGATTGTCTGCCGCTTCTTTTGGGTTTGTGGTCATGGTAGCAGACCTATAGCAACACTGGAATTTTAAATATCTGGGCAGAAACCATGTCTAAAAGTTAAATGCCTGCTGAAATAGTGGTTATATCACTTATATGGTGCATATTACAATTATTGCGACTTTGGATATATAAGTATAACTGACCTGACAATAATGTCTGAACCTGTTTTCTAATCGCTCTTGTAAAATGTTGTCCCAATTAATTAAGGATTTTTAATTGTTATCTTCAAATTTATGTTTTATTGGTTTCGATGGAACTATGTTGTAATTAATTTGCAGTTTAAAGGTCACATTGGAGATCAGGATACTATTGCAACTTGGTATTGTTTATAACTGGAACTGGTGTGGGGCAAAAGGAAAATTACAACCCATTTGAGTCGAACTTCAGCTTGTTTTGTAATGATCCCTGCATAGTGCTGATTGACAATTACCTATGGAAGTATAGGGTTTTGTTTCCTTTTGATCTTATTATAGTAATGGTTTGTATGAAGATACGCTGTTTCATGTTCCAAAGATATTGGCTAATGTGGGTTTCCCTTTACAGATGAAGCAACTTGATGGGAATCTACCATCTGATTTCGAGGAAATTTTAAACAAATATAATGGGGTGGAAGTGGTGGCAAAGTCTGGTAAAGAGACTTCTATTGACGCATCTGATGATTTTGCTAAAGAATACAGACCCCAACCTATCTTGGTTGAGGGAGAAGAAGCAACTGTGGTAGTTACTGCTTTAATCTCTGTCTTTGAGCATTTTACATTGTATTGTTTTTCAGAAATGATATCTTAAGAGATTCATACTTTAATTCATTGCAGTTGCATGACATTACTAAGGTAGAAATAGTGGAGCCTCTGAAGGATAATGAAAACAAGGTGGGAAAACGCAAATTTCAGGTAAATACATGGCATATTTGTTAACTAGTTTGTGATTCTGTTCTCTTTCCTAAATTTTGTAATGTATTTCTCTTTGTGGCTGCAAGAAGATTATCATTTTGTTTTATGCTGACCTCTTAGTATGTGGCAGAATGATGAAGTTGGTGTACAGAGCATGAAAATGTTGAAAGTAAGAGCTGCCCTTGAGGAAAAGTTGAAGCAGAAGGGTGTCTTCAGTTCCATCACTCCGAAAACTGATAAACCCAGGAAACTTCTGAAGCCATTGAACGGGTACCACTTTGCTCCTATACTTACTAGTATGTACTTGTACCTATATTGTGAGTACTACTAACTCAACCAATTTAAACAGGAAGCTTGAATCATATGATGATTTTGATGATGACACTGTAAATATTGAGAGTGGCGTCCATGGATTGAACAATGGTCGTGCAAGTAAACTCTCCCAACTTGCTACTAATCCAAATAAGTCCAAGGTATGACCTCACCACTGCTGCCTTCCCAATCAATGCTTGTTTTTAACTTCTTTCCTAGGTATGATACTTACTGAAATTTATAATTAAAGCCTTCATTTTTCCTTTAGAGATTCGAACTGGAAATAAACCTCTGCATTTCCTTCCACTGGCTTATTACATCTGGATGCTGTTTTCCTACATTCGGTGTTGTAGATTTTGTGGAGAATGCAATCAGAACATTAGTTGTCTACTTGTTATGTTTTCAACACAGTATCATGTAATCATGGTTCAAGATAACCGGGTGAGGAATAGGGATGGGCAATGGACACCTGTAGGTACCCGCACCATCACAATTACCACGACCAGTCACCAGCCCAATTAACACATACAACATAACACCTAATGAGTACCCATTGGCCATCCCTACCATGTGGTTTCTAGGAAATCTGCCTCCGATCTTTGTGGCCACCATCAATTGTCCCCTGAACTAGTTTTCTTTCTTTTTTTTTTTTTTTTGGAAAATTTGGTTCTTAATTAGCAAATTTCCCCCTTCGTCAATTTTTATTTTTCACATTCCATTCAATTTTCTGTTTAATAGTGTCACCATTAGGCACGTCTGTCATTTCAGAGGGTACATTAGTCTTTTCCACGCCAATTTGGGTCAGAAACATCCATGGGTTAGGATATTGGTAGGTGGATATATCAGTAGTCCAAATTTATGGATATATCGGTAAAAAATATAAGGGCATTATGGATTTTATAATGAATAGAAAGTAGGAAAAACTAATATTCATGTATAATAGAAGAGTTGTGCTGACTAACAACTAATTTTGGTATATTTTGTTAAATGAATTTAAAAGATCAACAGTTTTGGAAAGAAAGATTTGGTTAGTGCAGTGGGGACAGCTGTCTATCATCAAATGAATTAAAAACTATAGACAATTGTTAATTAATAGGGGTGTAAAGTCTGAAGTTTGAACTTTTACCGTCTTCTTCATTCTCTGAGAGTTTGAAGCTCTTTTATGAACATCGACTGGATTTTCTTCATCCATGCCTACAGTGGTCCTAGCTGGGAGGTTGTGTGGTCTGATCTCGGTCACACGATCCCGAGGGAAGTTAGTGAACACATAATCTCACCGAAAATGGTTGAATTTCTGCTGGGTTTATACCGAATTTTAATCGTTACTTTGCTCAAAGTTGGTTATATTGGAGATTTTCCATCGTAGAATCAATATTTGATATTGCACTAAGGTTGCGTCGAAAGTAAATACAGATGCTTTACCCCCCATTTCAATTTTCAGAGGCATGAAATTACCAATATTCAGTAAATTGGCGAAACTTTAATCCATGGATACTTCACATTCTGACCTCATTTTGTTGAAGTTGGAGACTTGTATTTGATCCCTCTCAACCCAATTCGTGTTGAAAATACCAATTTGCACTCTAAAGTGTCACAGTTGCCCATCATGTGATATACTGATGAAAAATTTGATCAGTAGGGGTAAATTGTTAGTGACCATAAAATTCTAGCGGTACATTTGCAAAACAGCATTTTTCCTCTTTCGAAAGAAAAAGAGATTCACTGATGTGTTTTGTCATGATGCTGAAATATATCATTGGATTATTAAAATAATTCCCGCTGTCCTTTTTTTTTTTGAGAAGGCTATCTCAGGTGATGATGATTTACCTCGGCGAGATGATATTGGGGAAAGGCGGAGAAAACATGAGCTTCGAGTGCTTGCAGGAGCTGGAATCAAGTCTCAGGATGATGCTGGAGATGAAGATGGCACTATTTCGGATGATGGAGATGTGGAGATGGAGGATAGTGAAATTGGAGATTCAGAAGATGACTTTTACGAACAAGTGAAAGAAAAACGAGCTGCAAAACTTGCTGCCAAAGCTGAGATTTATTCGAGGTACATTTTTCATTGTGGTTAGTTGCTACATTGTTCTAGCTGCTGTGCAATAAATGTTAATCTTACATAATCTGATTACCATATTTCATGTTTGGGTTCATTCTTTTTCGTACTGAGTTTGTTTTCATCATTGTTGCTCTCTGAGTTATTGTTGGTTGAGGAAGGGGGTTGGTGGTTTTGAGTTATTGTTGGTAATTTGTGTTGGTGCTTTGCTTCTGCAGGTCCTCGACAGTTCCATCTTTGGTGGAAACTGAAACTGTTGATGGGAAACGCCATATTACATATCAGGTAAATACAAGCCAGTTTTGACTATGCTCATCTAATTGGCTACATAATATTTACCATTGGTTGTTGGCTCACCGTATTGTTTTCTTCCTCCGTATCTACACCAGATGGAGAAGAACAGGGGACTTACTCGTGCTCGTAAGAAGCTGATCAAGAATCCAAGAAAGAAGTACAAGGTATTTGATCAAATAGTCGAACACATGTAATGTTGCAGGCTATTAAATGATTGCTCTAATAACTCATCTCTTTCTCTGTGCGTGTGCAGTTGAAGCACCAGAAGGCAGTGAAGAGTAGAAAAGGACAGGTAAGAGAGGTGAGGAAGCCTTTAGGTCCGTATGGTGGAGAGGCCACCGGAATCAATGCAGGAATCAGTCGGAGCACCAGATTCAAGAACTAAATGTTGCTTATGATTTCGTCGTTGTGTCCCAATTTTGGTAAAGTGAGAATTTCTTTTGATGAAGTGACATAATTTTGAGTAACTTAAATGATGTCGCGAAATGTACTTGTATACAATGCCTGCATTATATAAGAAGTTTGTTTTGCATTGCATGAATTGAATGGAATTGAATGTCGTCTTTAGGGTAAAATCAAATTTCATACCGATTTCTCGCAGATTGTGGTGTAGCTGACAGGCGAACTCAGACGAACCGAGAGCCCAAACCCTAAACCTCAAATTTCATATCGATTTGAGATTTGATTGAGTAGTAGAAACCAGAACCCAAACCCTAAACCTCCAATTCTCAAAACTTGTAGGAAAGCTTCTGGGATTCTGTCGAGAATGGCTGGGAACTCCCCCCACACCAAATTATTAGTCCCTAAATCTCTCTCCCAGTGCACTCAAGATGGCAGGCGCTGCGACGCAGATGCCCTGTATGCACTTCAAGTGCTGTTCTAGGCTCTCATGGCACGAGAGTAATGGGTTCTTGATTTGAGTTTTGTGTGGGGAGAGTATTAGTTGGACGACCAAATCTTTGCGTGCAATTCAGCTTGCACAATCCTCATCACATCCCAATTGATTAACTTCAAAGTTTCTCTTTGTACTAAATTTGCTTACTCTTCTTTAGTAATATTGTTTAAGAATATAAGAATCTCACATCGCAATATTGACTAAATGAAATGACTTATATTGAGTGGTTTCAATGTACTTATGCTGCGATGACTTAAATTGAATAGGTTGATTAACTGGGCCTAAATTTGGCCTTTATCTTGCCTTGCCCAAGTTACCGGGCTTCTTACCTTGCTCTGTTCCTGCATTCGAATTACCGATACGACGATACATGTACTCGAGGTAAGAGATTTGGGCTAAGTGTAGGAGTGCAAATGAATGTGGTTAATTACAATCTCAAACACAACTTGTAAAATTGTGGTTTTGTAAAATAAAAAATAAAATAAGGGCTCATTTTTAGCCACGTTTCTTGGAATCCTATTTGATTTTTGTCCACGGTAACTCAAAAGTCATCATTTTACTTCTTGAAATTCAAAATTTATTCCACTTTGACTTGTGAACTTTTTTTTCCTTGAAACTTATAGGTCGCCTCCTGAAAAATATGTAGGACCAAACACCCAATAGACTATGCCACATGTGCAATAAGTTTGATTATAAATCTCCATTATGAGTTAAAATTCAACAATTAGAGAATATCAAGTTTAAAAGAAATTGAAAAGATGAAAAAAATAAAACATTAATTGATTAGCCCTGCGCACCCAATTCAAGTTTAAAAGAAATTGAAGAGACGAAAAGAATAAAAAAGAAATTGATTAGCCTGCCTCACCCAAATCAAACTCATAAGAAATTAACAGATCTAAAGCAATATAGAGCGAATTTTGAGTTTTATGGAGAAAAAAATTTCAAGTCTCAGGGGAGAAAATGAGATTAAAATCGAGTTCCAAGGGACAAAGTGAAGAGAACTAAGAGTTTCAGGGAGTAAAGTGATGAATTTTGAGTTACATATAACAAAATGAGACTAAAAGCGAGTTCTAGGAAGCGTAGCTAAAAATAAACTCATATAATAAAATAATTTCTTTTTAAGGAATGGAATTTTAAAATTTCCAACAAGTTAAAGCATCAACATAATAATCTTGCCGGCAATCTTGTCATGGGAGAAAAGATGGGCGCATAAAATTTCTTCTGTGATCTTAATCAAATATCCCAATCTATTTTTAATATTGATTGATAGGTATTTTTCTTTTTTTTCTATTTCAGTAAGAAAATGAAAAACAACGGCTAACAATGAATTGTCCTAGTATATAGAGATTTTTTCTTTAACTTACTTTATTCAGTATTCAAATATTCTCCTTTTTTCATAAATAAATAAATGTATTGTAGATTATTATTCGCTTGTAAAAAATAAAATAAAATAAAAGAATGAATGGATAGGTTAGGTTAGGCGTGGGCACAGGCCAGGCCGAGCCCAATTTTGAAGGAACCGGACCGGACCCGAGTTCAATGGAGACGGGCTGGGCCGGACCGGGGATTACATTTTCTAATATAAGAACCGAACCTTACTAGGCCTGATTGAAATGGGCCGGTTCGGGCTGGATCCACGGGTCCTTGGTGTTTTTTTTGTTTTTCTTCTTTTCTTCTTCAACTCTCTGGATCGTTAGGAACCGGACCACCACCTTCTTCCCAGACATCCTTGTCGCAATCATCTTCTTGCCGAGTTTCCTCGTCGTGGTTTTCAGCAGTCGCTTCGTGCAGTGGCGACGGATGTTGCAGCACTAGTCCCTGATGCTGAGTCCAAACTGTGTTCCAAACTAAAAGAACGTTCCCACCACCACCCGTGGCTCGAAATCAAACATGATGAGGCATGCAACTGCTCATCTCCACTGCCAACTCTCCAGATCAATAATCATTCACCTTACATTAGCTTCACATCGATCAAATCCAATGAATACCTAAATCGAAAAAAAATTGAATTGCTAAAGATATAAAATTGCAGAAGAAAAATGAAAAACCCTAACCCATTGATCAAACCCCTAAATCAATAACCCTAGATGCTAAAACAACACAATTGACCCTAATCCCAAATCAAAAAAACCCTAACCCAACCAAATCCCAAATTATGAAACCCTAGAATCAAACCAAAGTTTGATCCCAGCCCTTGAGATCGTCCTCGGAGATCTTCTCATCGGGCTTGGTGGCGTCGACATGCTGTTGTCGACGCAATCATCCTCGATCATGTGCTTGATGGTCTGCGACTCCAGTGCCATCGCCTCCTCGACCTTGAACGACTCGTCATCCGAGCTCTTGAAGGTGATCTTCTTCGACGACGACGACATGGTTGGTGACGGTGAGACTTGAGAGGAGTGACTAGTGAGATTGGGTTGTTGCTCCAATCCTCGCAGCACTAGCAATCGTCGATTGATTGGGTTGACGACAAGGCACTGACTTTGGAGAGAGACGTAATCGAATTCGAGGACTCGAGTCGAGTGACAGAGTCGAGGTCAAGGACGAGGAAACCTAAAACTAACGATTAAGATTAGATGGATAGATGATCTCTTCAATCTCGCTCGTCCATTTCAATCACAAACGGGCCGGTCCGGGTACCCACTGTTCCTATACTTCAAGAATTGGCCAGAACCAAAAATTACAAAGGCCCACCCCGTTTCTCTTTTTTAAAATTAAGAACCAGCTCATACCCGCCCCGACCCGCGATTCCTATACTCGTTTGCCCATCCCTAGGTTAGGTTGTCGGGTTGGGGACAATGATTTTGCACCTTCAACAAGCCTTTTTCAACTCACCAAGGGAAAAAAGAGGTTGACCCTACCAACCTTTGACATTATTAACCAACCTCATTAATTTATGGGAATTCTCGCTCCTTTGCTATTTTATTTTTTTAAATAAAATTTATGATTCTCATATGAGGAAGAAGAAGCTTATCCGAGGAAATTGTAGAAATGAGTCATTAATTTTAACTTAATTAAAGTAATGGCCATTCAATTAAAAATTTATGATTATTGATCTCTTAACTCATAAAAACGTGTAATTATGGTTCTTTTCTTCAACTCTGTTAGAATTTCCATCAAAATAAGTTACGTGACATGCACGTGAAGCTTAATCAAGGAGGAAATATAGAAAAATCAAATGAGAAAAATTATAGCAATAGTTCATCAACTTTAACCCAATTAGAGAAATAGTCTCTTATAACCCTCGATGAACCTCCTTAAAACCCTGTATGTATTTTGGACCCTGAAAATTACTCCATTTTACAACAATTAAAGAAGTAATACTCGTGAATTTATAATTTAGAGACCAATACTAACGGATCTTCATTGTCCAAATGTAATTTAGAGACAAATCCCTTCCCTCTCTTAACTTAGATTGGTTGGGGCAAGACTTGATTCGTAAGTTTAGCTTCCTTAATTTGTCAGTTCGAGGTTAACTTAAGCAACTAGCTTACATACAAGGCTCCCTAAAACCATGAGGGGATCCATTTTGACATCCCATAACTCCTAGTCGTAGAATACAAAAAGCTCCCCATATGTACTTACTTAGGAGTTAGGACCCGTTTTACAACCATATACTTTCTCACATCTCAAGTAGAAAAAGTGAAAAATAAAACGTAAAAACTAAATGGTCATCAAACAAGCAAACATGTCCCTATCATCCAAGTTTTTGTTTTCATGCCATCTCCTTCATTTCTCCCACCACCTCCCTTCATCATTCTCCATTCCTCATTTTTCTCATCTACTTTTCTTCTATTTCTAGCACGCACAAAAACGCTAAAATTGGAAAACAAAATAGTTACCAAATGAGCTGGCTTAGGTACCACTTGTAGAACACTATCAAATGATCCCTATAAGCCTAGTAATCTGCATATTGTTAAGGGTGAAGTGCTGATTTAGTCCCTGAATTATCACCTTAGTGAAAATTAGGTCCTTGAACTATTTTTTAGGTAAAATAAGTCCCTAAATTCATTAAAAAATTGGTAATTTCATCCCCACTATTATATTAAAAGCTATTTTATCCAATTTTTCGTCAACTTAAGTCACTTGAAATATTTTAGAGTATAATACTATCATTTTCTCCACTACAAGCCCTTAACATTTCATATAAGTTGCGAATCTAACTCCTAATTTACCTTCCAAAGTTAACTCCATACACTATTTCTTTATGTCAAATTACCAATCTACCCTCCAATGTGTATCACATGCAAGTAACTTGACTTAAATTGACGAAAAATTGAATAAAGTAGCTTCGAATCTAATATTAGGGATGTAATTGGCAGATTTTTATAATTCAAGGACTAATTTTTCTGAAAAAATAGTTTAGGGACCTAAGTTCACCCTATTGTTAATGCCGGATGGCCAAATCCAAACAGTCACAGAGAAAAAGTATGAATTGCTGATGCTATTGTAAGAAATCTTCTGACTATTCATGCACGCAAATAACCTAAGCTTAAAACCTCTGGAATAAATACACGATCAAAATTTCCAAAAAGAGGATACAAAAAATACATGATTGTGTTGAGATACAGATTAAGGTGTTGACAGAAGATAATAACTAGTATTCAGATTGCAGAAGCAGGCTTTACCTTCCCTTGCAGAAACTGCAAGATATGTTCACGTTTCCAATTGTCGATTCTGTGACAGAGATAAAATAATAAGTTCGTAGAAACGCGACTCTTCCCATAAGGAATACCAATGATGATAAATTTCTAAGCAAGAGATTATAGATGTGCATGGCCAGGTTCAGGCAACATTCAAATGGGCCGTCCATATTTTGAGAAACCTTGTGAAAGAAAATTAGAGGGTTGTGTCCACTGTTTCTATGTGAATGATAAAAGGATGCTCACCTTATTGTTTCCTTATGTTCGCCTGCATCATCTAGCAAGATCAACTTTGGTGGAGAATTGAAAATGTATTGGACTTTGACCGAAGGGAACCGATCCTTCTCTTCTTCAATAAAGCCAACAATTTCGGGATAGAAAACCAGTTTCCTCATGCAGACTTCCAGTATAGCACCAGAATACGTGATCTGTAGTTATAAACAGTCATATTAAGCATTTCCTTATCTATTAAATAAATGTTAAGAGAGAGAAGCCTCCGATGGAAACTTACAATTTGCAGAATTAGGTAATGTGTACCAATGGATAACATTTTTATAGCATAAACCTTGGAATCAAAATTCTCAAAACATCTAAAGTTGCCCTAACATGTCCTGAGACTCCTGACATTAAACTAGAAAGTCTCATGCAACTAAAACTGATGAAATCAACAATCCCTAGCTAGTCTCAGAGCCAACAGGATATCGGCAGATTAAAATATAATTTCAAATTCGAGCAATCATCGTGTGTATAAATTTACTTACCTTTGTCATTGAATCATCGGAATCCTCAGTGCAACATTTCATACAGTCGGATACCAATTCTGCAGTCAAAACTAGGACTTCAGTAAGCTTGTTTGTGTCTTTTTTTTTTTTTTTTTTAATAAAGAAACAATTATATTAAAAAAAGGAAAGCAGCAGAAACAGCAGAAGGAGTGGTCAAGCAAACCACCCGAAACAGAAAATGGAAAGAGAAAGAGACAACTCCACAGAGCTGAAGAGCACCCTAACACAAAGTCACAAACTAAAACGAAGCTGCCTTCCAATCTACTCAAATTAAGGAGAGGGTAATTCCCCTGAACTCACAAGACACAGAAACCGGGAGGGCTGACAAAATCCTCCGCAAAACCAGCTCCTGCATAATCTACCTAAACCCTTCCATTTATCTCCATCCAAACCACCCAAAACTTAGTGAAAATTATCCAACCCAGCATCACCTTCACTTTATTACCCTTCCAAACCAAAGGTGAGATTCACTAAGCAGAGAGAGGCAGTCCCTTGGAATTATACAGTACCCATCTCCCTAACCAGCTTCAACCACAAGCCCAATGTCATCAGACAATGAAGAAAGATTGATCAACAGATTTCAAATCTAACTTATATAAGATACACCAATAAGGCGACAAGCGGTAAGAGCGGTGCCTTCTATGAACCGTGTCACAAGTGTTAACCTTGACACGGGCAATTATCCAACATCTTTACTTTAGATGGAGCTCTGGATTTCCATATCGTCCAATAGTAAATAAAGAGTTTCATTGCCGTGATTAGCAACGAAACTATAGTGAGATTTGTAAGAATACCTTGACAATTTCCTTGAATCCATCATAGAAGGGTGGAAAATGATATTTTCCAGCAATCTCAAAAAGGGATGAAGATTCTTCCACTTCCCTTTCGATTTCTCCTGAAGCAAAATTTCCAGTTCATCCATCCACTGAAAAAATCCACAACACTAGAAATGGCCATATTACGACAACTGGTATACTGTACTACTGTAGAGATTGGAACTGAGATTTAAAGGTAGAATTTCCCAACCACTCATATTCCCAAAACTATTTCTATCAACATGTTTGCGCAACAAAGTGGCATCTTGTAATGAAAGAGTCGTAACCACGAGATATCTCCTTCCAAGGGCTTGGACAAATGCAAGTGATCTCCAAAAAATGCAAGTGATAGTGATGTCTTATAACGCAAACACTATTAGGAATGGCCACTAATTACATCGTCTTGCCACTTATTTCCATGATCATCAGCTATGCAGTTGTATTTACATTATTCGGTATGGAAAATCGATGGAATTCAAGACTCAAATATCTTTTGGTGCTCCTAATATCTATGTCCTTAATTGCTACAAATGATAATTGCCAAAGTTGGGAACCTGAAGAAATGGAGTCTCCTCCTCGTCAGATCACAAATTCCTTCCCATAAAGTCAATAATTGCCATTTGGCAGTGCTAAAACTCTCAGACTTTGTTCTATGATTGCACCAATCAATGTTTGCTAACCTAAACAGCTCTTAAACAGTCACTCTTTTTTTTTTCTTGGGACAATTCCTAAAGACTCACTCTAATTTGGATTAAAACATTTCAAACCCCATCAACAACAACAGCAATTCACACAACCAAAATATACAACAACAACAAAAGTAAAGTGTGGGAATTTGATAAAGAAAGAGAAAAAGGGAGGAGAATTGGATTGGATGGGTAACCTTGATCTTTGACATACTCAGCCAAACTGTTACAATCAGAGCACAAAGCGAGACCTGTGAAACCAAGATTCTCGCATTTCCTTGTGCTCAGCTGCTCTTTCGATGCACCGGAGGCTACTGCCACCGTGAGCACCACCAACATAGCCGCCATCAACGCTCCCATATCTCTTCCTTCCGAGCTCACGAGTCTCACAGTCTCTCCTCCCAAGACTCAAAGCAAAAACAAAACGATGGTCTTGCTTTTGGTGTGGGAGAGCCTTGGTTCGTTCCGGGCTTTAGAGTATCCACAGGGGCTAGAAAGTGATCATTCAAGAGCTGTTAAGGCCTCTCTAACCGAGGGCTAGTCCTCCGGTCCTTTTAAGATTCTTCAAAATTTTAATATTTTAATAAATAATACATAATTATATTTGCTTGTCTTCAACCGAGGGGTAGAGAGTCAGAGGGCTCGTTTTAGCCCTGTCATAAAAAACCATCTTCAACTGAGGGCCAAAGGGCCATAGGGCCAAACATAATTTGTTATTTAAATTTAAAAACTACAACAACTTAAATTCAAATCCAACAACTTAAATTAAAAAACTACAACAATAACTGGCAAAAAAACAAAAAAATTAGAATTAAAATTTAATGAATGGTTTAGGTATATATAAGAAAAAAAAAATTAGAATTTTTAAGAATTTAAAAAAAAAAATTGGCCCAAAAAACAAAAAAAAAAAAAAAAAATTTGAATACAATGGCTAGTTGACTAGGCGTTGTATTCAAATATTTTTTTTTAAGCAATCATATCGGTTATAACCGACAGGAAAGCTATATTTTCTGGCCAGCTCCAGGCTGGCTGGTTGGCTGCTTGCAACCAACCCTCCAGCCCTCTAGCCCTCTTCGATTCTGTGGGGCCCTCTTAGATTCCACAGTCCTCTAGCCTAGCCCTCGGTTGGAGAACGTTTTCGGGCTATTTTCGGCACCCTCTGGCCCTCTGAACCTGTCGGTTGGAGATGGCCTAAGAATTTTTGAGGTTTTATAAAAGAATTTTAGGTTATATTTTTTTTTATAGAGTAATTTGATTAAGTGATGATTTTTTTATTTTTTATTTATTTTTTGTTAATTTTTCTTAAGTTGATTTTTAGACGTAATAACTTAAATTTTTTATTTTTTTATTTGTATGAACCTTTCAACCTAAAAATTTCAAATTTTGACAAAGTTAGATTTCATCATTTATGAATTATTCATTGAATTAGATTCTCTTATCTCTATCTCATATGCTGAAAGAAGCAAACCCCCATTTCGCCATTTGAAATAATTTGATTTTCACGTATAATCAATTTATCTAGCACTAATTGATAAATTAGTATCATACAATTTTGAAAAAAAAATATTTGAAAATTTTGCCCACTAATTGTCACATCCCGGGCCCGCTCCACCACCGTAGCACGATATTGTCCGCTTTGGACTTACCATTCCCTCACGGTTTTTTTTTTGGGAACTCACGAGCAACTTCCCAGTGGGTCACCCATCATGGGATTGCTCTAGCCCCTTCTCGCTTAACTTCGGAGTTCTTACGGAACCTGAAACCAGTGAGCTCCCAAAAGGCCTCGTGCTAGGTAGGGATGAGAATATACATATAAGGAGCACTCCCCTGGGCAATGTGAGATGTCACACTAATGCCCATGAACGTTAAATCAATTTGAAATTTTAATTCTTATGGAATTTAAAACAATCATTAGTTACCCAAATTGCAAGAAAAATAAGAAAGAAAAAAAAATTTAAAAAAATAATAAAATTAGAGTATAAGTGTATTCTTAAGAGGAGGGAGAGTGATAGAATTTTGTTCACATGGGTTGCTACTTTTTTGTGGAACCCACTATTTTTTTAGGCTAGATGTAGCTCAATTTTATCTTATCCAAGAAAGGAAGTTGCTAACCCCAGTGGTTGATCTAAACCCATTTTTCGGCTCATTGGGGATAAAATTTCTCACTAAGGCTTGAAATATAGTAGTTTCATAGAGGACATAGCCCCCATTGGAGATGCTCTTACGCACCACAAAGAAATATTTCCCCAATGAAGGAAAAACATTTTAGGCATATAGCTTACGTAACGGCCAATCCCAAGAAATCGCCAAATTAAGAAGGGTGCGAATGGTAGTGGGTTTAACCACGGGATTTAATGTCTCGGCATGATGTTCTGTGCTACTAAAATAACATGGTGTCTTGTGCCACTAAAATAATAAGGGTGAAGTGCCGATTTAGTCCATGAACCATCACTTCAGTGAAAATTAGATCTCTGAATTTTTTTTTCGGTAAAATAAGTTCCTAAATTCATTAAAAATTGATAATTTCATCCTTACTATTATTTTCAAAGCTATTTTATCTAATTTTTCATCAACTTAAGTCACTTGACACACTTTAGAGTGTTATACCATCATTTTCTTGCCTATAAGCCCTTAACATTTCATATAGGTTGCGAATCTAATATCTAATTCATCCTCCAAAGTAAACTCCATACGCTAGTTCTTTATTAAAAATTACCAATCTACCCTCCAATGTGTATCACATGCAAATAACATGACTTAAATTGACATAAAATTGAATATTGTAGTTTTGAATCTAATAATTGGGATGTAATTGGCAGATTTTTATAATTCAATGGCTGATATTTCTGAAAAATTAGTTTAAGGACCTAATTTTTACTCAGGTGATAATTAAGGGACTCAATTGACGGTTCACCCAAATAATACTGTAAACAAAAATTCAAGCTTGTTACATTTGAGGACCACTTGTTATTTTCAAGCTTCTCTACGATTATGAATAATTAACTTAAATTCATTTAGTTAATTATTCCATCTCCTGATTAATCATAATTAATTGGTTCAACCCACTTTTGTAATCTTAGCTTCCCAATACGGTGTGCGATCCACTAGGTTTTAACTGATGAGGCAGTAAGAGCGATTAATCTCCAATAATCCGTATAGCGAACTTAAAACCCTTTTAGCTCTACCCTTATTGTGAAACAAATTATCCATTTCACGAGTCTTACTAACTATGTGTAACACCTAGCTAGCTATATGTTATGCTGTTCAAGTCGATATGGAATAATGATACAGAGAAACTATATAGTTTGGAATCACAGTATAATAGTCATTCTCTACTACAGTACTTTCGTTCACATTTATAAGTATATATGATTAATGCCAAACCCTTTTGGTGATGAAAATAACACCAATGTAAACTATTTTGCTCGTATGATCCCTTTAAGGCAATGAGTTTTTGCATATGCAAACATAAGTGTGCACTGATCTTTTCGAAATTACCAATATTCACTCGATAGTTCCAACGTTTGGGAATAGTTTTAGGATAAACACACGAGATAATGGTCTCAATAACGTTACTCATTAAGTTACTTCATTCTTATTTATGAATTATCTATACAATCTCATTGAAGTTGTCCATGGATTCACCCAAAAGATTTTTATATGGTTTAATTGATGTATGGTGATCTTGCCCGGTGATTAGCTCATGAACTATCGTGGTATTGTCTGAAATATATAGTTTATCAACTCGTTGATTGTTTTTAGGACATACCTCTAACAACTACATATTTCTCTTAGAAATATAGAAGAAGGATGAACTAAACTCACCCTTGAAGCTATTAGAAAAACCCTTATAAATTGCTCCACCAATCTTCTTGTTCTCCAAATCTTCTCTTTAAACTCTCCACCTTTGGTTCTCCTTTAGTTGTCAAAGTAGTCAACCTTTAGCATCACCACACGACTTAATCTTGAGTGGTTAGATGAAACAAAGAAGAGAGAAATAGAATAATGAGTATCACTTAGTCAATTTGTGATTTATGCTTGAGCTGTCTCACAAGTAAGGAGTGACATTTAACCGCATGCAATGACTAATCAAGTCAATAGGGTATATTGGAGAACATATTCAGCTGAACCTGAAATGCAATACAATACCTACATTATTACGGTCATATTATTTGTCAAACCACTAATGTAATTTTTTTGAGGGAGAGTAAGAAATAAAGAAAGATGAATACAAATAAAATCTTGAAAGCCAAAACAATTTAAAGTAAGCTTTTGTTTATGTTTTCAGTTTTTATTTTATTTACCTTTCTTTTTGTGTGTGTGTGTATCTCTCTATATAGTTCTACCACACCTTTTCCACCATCCTTACTTCTCTCGTGCCCCCCATCATATATTATTCAACTAGCACAAAGTAAGTTCTCATTATTTCAGTGTAGTTGGAATATAAGGCAATATACCACATTTTATAATATAAGTGAGGAACATTAAAAATATATATATCATAAAACACGACATATCAACATTGCCATTTACTTATATTGGAACACGTAGTATAACATTTTATATTATAATTTATTGTAACACGTGGCAAATGGCACACTCACACGTGTTACCAAAAGCGGGAAAGCCTTAACTCTGTCAAGGAAATTAAGAAATTATTAGGAAATTAGAGGCCATTGTGTAATTTGTGCTTAGGTTTTTATGACGTTACGCACTCATCACTCCCTACTTGCTTTCATCGGCCGCTACCGCCACCACCACCAACCTTCTCCGCTCCTCAGCTCCTCACTCACTCCCACTCTCACTCACACTCTCTGGCAAACCCACCCGCCCCCCCCCCCACCCTCTCTCTCTCTCTCTCTCTCTCTCTCTCTCTCTCTCTCTCTCTCTATATATATCTATATGCCAATTATGCATGTATGTTATCCTAATGATCGGTACTCGTGATATTCCAACATCAATTCCTCCTCGATATTATAAGTAAGCATTCGTAAATTGGTGTTATAAGAACAGAGCTCAGCTCAGCTGGTGGCTATGGCTCCTGCCCAACCATTCATGGAGGCTGACCAAGACTGTAAACCATTTGTCAACCCAAAAGTTGAACTTGTTGATGATGATACAGAAATTAGGAGGGCTTCCTTGCCAAACTCTGCTTCTGCTTCGGCATCGGAGGGAAAACACATGGCTTCAATCTTCGACATTGATATAATTCAGTGCACAAGTAATCAGGAGCAGCCTGAAACTGACCATCCTGATGCGGACGCAACTGATGAATATTCAACCTCATTTGCCGACACTACGTCTGACACTGGTACTTTTTCTGGATTTTGTGAAGAAGGTGAAGTGCAGTCCCATTCATTTGAGGACAATACTTTGACATCTGCTTTTGATGCATTTGCGAGTGCATTTCAAACCAGGTGTGTGCCGG